TACCCCCACCCCCCACCCCCCCCATCAACCGCCATTTTGATCAGATACTAAATAATTGCACATATAGTATTTGGATCTGTGTCTGGGCTTTCTCACTTTCATCCTCCTGTTCTTGTGTCAGAACTGAAATGTTTGATTTTACACATTTGAATACCGACAGTAGAGTTCAACATTCCTCATTATTTTCTGGGCTGTTCTCATGTTAATTCTCTTGGCTAACTGGGGGATTATTTTATCACGTCTCTTCCCCACTTCGCAGTTGATTTTCAGATTTGGCTTGAAATTGTATTAAATGTATAAATTAATTTAATATTTTATTACTTATGTGTTGATGCTTAACAAATTGCCTGGAAGTTTAGCAATACATATATTGAGGGTTATAGGAACAGCCTTGCTGGGTGACTCTGGCTCAGTCCCTTGTGAGGTTTCAGTGAAACTGTCGGCCAGGGCTGCAGCCACACCGGCCCAGAGCCTCTGCCACCCTCACCCACCGGACTGTTGGCAGGAGCTTCAGTTCCCTGCCACGGGGTCTCATGACATGGTTTCCCCAGAGAGAGTGATGGGAGGAGAGAGAACCCAAAGGGGAAGCCCACGTGTCTTTATTGCCTAATCACAAAGGGGACAGGTCATCACTTCCGGCATAGTCTATTGATCACACAGACCAACCCTGATGGGAGTGGGAGGGGCCACAGAAGGCCATGATGTCAGGAGGCAGGGCTCTCGGAGCCTCTTGGAGGCCCCCTAACAGAGATGAACCGAACACTTTACAGCGTTAGGTCTTTCTGAATGTGCCATGTTCCTCTACCCACTTAAACCCGACGTGTGTTCTCAGGGAAGATTTCCACTTTTCTTCACACAGCTCCCCACTTTGTTAAACTCTTTCTCAGTATTTCATATCTATTTGGCTGCTCTGGTGAACGGGATCTTTCCCACTTGGTATTTTCTAAGTAATTGTTGTGCTCATACAGGGACACTATTGATTTTTATGGCCATAATTTTTCAGTAGAGCTTAACTGGTGACAAGGCGAAAGCCACTGGCCTTTCACTGAGCCTGGGATTGCGAAACTGAGAGCAGATGAGATTCCAAATGTGCTCTAGGGAGCGGCTTCCCCACGTGACTCAGTGCAGGGGAGGTGGGCAAAGTAAGGAGAGCCTTCCTGTAGCGGATCTTCACGGGGTGGCTGTGCCCAGGGGTTTCCAAGCCGAGGCGATGGGGTTCTCTGGCCAACCCTTGACCCTGCCTTGGAGGGAGCCTGTGGTAGGGTGAGAGGACAGCCGTGGCCGGCAGCCTAGGGCTGCCTAGAGCCCACGGATTCAGCCCATCTGTCCATGACTTCCAGGTCCCCGTCTCCAGCAACCTCTGTCCAGGATCCTGTTCTGGATGCCTCCCCGGTGTATGCTCAGCTCTAATGAACTCCGCCTTGAAAGTTCCTTCATCCATTCTCTCTTCTAATAGGCATTTACCTGGCACCTGCTGCAGACCAGGCAGCATTCCGGGCAGAGGGCGTCAGTGGGGCACCTGCCCTGCAGTGCTTGTCATCTCCTCAGGGAAGAGAGACAAAAGCACAAATAAGTAAGATGATATTTTACAAAGTAAGGGATGAGGGGAAAACTGAGCAGGAGGATCAGGAGTATAGAGGAGCTAAAGGTTTGAGCAAAGACTTGAAGGGGGTGATTGAACCATGTGGGTTCCAGGCAGAGGGAACAGCCAGTGTAAGGCCCTGGGGAGGCAGGGTGCCTGGGGTCTGCAGAAAGCCAAGGACACCAGCGGATGGAGCCAGGGAGGGAGGGAGAGTGCTGGTGGTGGGAGGGGCTGCCTGAGGAGGTGAGCAGAGGGAGGCAGATCATGGGCCCGTGCAAGGACTTGGCTTTGACTCAATAAAATGAGCCATTGGAAGGATTTTAACAGAGATCTGATCTGATTTTAGTTTTAAGAGGATTTTAGGTGGAAGCAGAGATGCCTGATAGGAGGCTCTGGGGTGAGGACTCTCTCCCAAGTCGGTCCTCTGTGATTCCCGCTGGCAATGCCAGCACGGACTTATCGCCTCTGTTGTAGGCTTGGGCTTGGGCCGCGGTCATAGGCTTGGGCCAACGTTTGCCACCATTCTCCTGCCTCCTGCTCTTCAGTCTCCGTTCCTATCCAGCACCAGAGCTGTCTGAGCAATGCCTCCAGGCCCTTCTTCAGCTTTGAACCCCCGATGACATGAATGGGATGGACAAGACGGGGCCTGCCCCCTGCACTTTCAGAGGCCAGTATTTGGGAGTCACATTTTTAAAGGACTTTCGAAATATATTTTATTTCAGTCATATGAATTATGTAGCTTACTCATGGCATTAAACAATATGGACTTGTCTAAAGTGGCCTCCCTCCCTCTTCCCAGAAGAAAGCAAAGAACCATGTGTGTTCTCCGATATTTTTTCCTTTGTCTACACAAAATAAACACGGACTTTAAAAAATGGATTACACTGTGCACAATTTATGCACGTCGCCTTTTCATTTTATCTGCCCTGGACATTTCTCCTCGCGACACCTTTGTGAAGTGTGGCTCCACAGTGGGCAGCCCCTACCCCACCGAAGAGGGGACATTCTTCCGGTGGTTTCCTGTCGCTCGCACAACCTTGCGTGTGCGCACCGCGGCCGCAGAAGAAACCGCGTTAGCATGCAAAATCCAACGTACACATCGGCCAGCAAAAAATGAAAACAACATAAAACCAGTTGAAAGGCGGCAGAAACCCATGTCTGAATACCCCAGGTGCCCGGCCCCATTTCAGTCGCCAGGTGTTCCCCCAAAGGAACGCGGCCCCAGCCACTGCGGTCCGCGGCCCCAGCCACTGCGGTCCGGGCCATTACCAGCCGCCGTGTCCCCCTCGCTTGGCTGGCCTGGCACGTCCCTTAGCCTCCCAGTGCGTCCCAGGGCGCTTGGCCAAGTCTCCCCACATAGGCTGTCCCGCTCCTCGAGGCCGCCAGGGGGGCGCCCCCGCCCGGGACCCCGCGGCCCGCAGCTCCGGGGAGGGCGGATCGGCGGGCGGCCGCCCAGCGGGAGGTGGCGCCACGCGGGCGGAGCAGCTCCCGGCCGCGCCCACTGGAAATCAGACCCCGCCGGCGCCCCGCTGCCCTCCATGCCTGGCCCTCCTGCCCCACTGACCTGGGATTGCCAGGGAGCACCTCGCCCCTGCGGCACAAAACGGGGTGCTTCCCGTCTGACCACTGCCCACCTTCCCCGAACGGGGTCACCGCCGCAAGAGTGACACCATCCCCCTCCGCGCGCACCGGGACCTCCGCCCGCAAGCGGCCTGCCGGTCCTGCTGCGCGCACAGTGCTCTCTGCGCCCTCTTCGTGCAGGGGCCTGGGGGACCCAGGAAAAGAGGGAGGCAGCCAGCGCTTTCTGCGCGTCCTCTCTCCCCTTCTACTCTCTGGGCTCCGGCCCCACCCGCCACAGCTCGAGTAGGTAGGAGAAGAGTGTGTAGGAGGCAGGAGGAGGCTGGAGGAGGTTCTGGGTGCGAGAACCTCGGGAGGCCAGCACTTGGAGGTGGGAGGACAGAGGAGAGGGCGCGGGCCAGGCAGGGTTCAGGGCCTGCTCTGTGGGCAGGAGCCTCTGTGTGGGAGCTCCAAGGTCTGGGTCATACGGGGACAAGCCCGCTAGACCTCGGAGGGCAGCCTGGCCTCCACGCTTCGTTGTGATGCTGTGGCTTGAAGCTCATCTGAACCGCTTTAATTTTTCTTCCTGTTCCCTGTGGTCCATCACTCTTGGGTGCCTGATCCACCTCCGTCCTCATAGGGAGGAAAGGGACACGGAGGTCACCGATGCCACCAGGCCACAGTGCCGAGTCCTGTTCATTTTCTCCTCCTTGCGTTACATTTTTTAAACCATCAAAATAGTCATAGTTGCCAGTGGGTGTTAAATTTGAAATCTGGGTGGGGTCCCAATGTGGCAGCTCATTGATTGGGTAGCCATAGGCAAGTCACCGACCCTGCACCCCAGCTTCCTTATGGGAGTACAAGGGCAGCTGTGAGCAGCTCTGAGCACCTGTTAGGCGGGTTCCATCTCAGCGACAGTGGCTCCTGCCCACCTGACAGCTGGCGACATCTGCTCTGTCCGGGTGCGCCAGATTCCGGGCTCCCAGACGCCCAGTTCCATTCTTTTTGGTCACCTTCAGACACCTGCAACAAACAACAAAAAGATCAGCGACAGCCACCAAAACTGCGGGTTCACCTGTCAGCCCATGCCCCGCTCAGAAGCTCACTGTCGGGAAAGGGAGAGGCTGTCAGCCTCCATCTGTCCTTGAACTCCACGGAGAAGCCCCTTCTGTGGTCCCTCCCGATTCCATTTTGTTTTCTTTCTTGGCTCTAACACAGAGGAAGCTCTCCCCCTCCCCTCCCCTCAGGCAGAGTTTAAAAGCATTACCTCAGGATGCCAGATGTCCTGGAGAAGGTTGGAAATGTGGAGCCGTGGCGGGAAGGCTGGGGAGCCCAGAGGCTGCTGGCTGGCTGCTCTGGCCTGTTTGAAATTGGCTCAAAAGACGTGGAATTAGTAGGCAAAGTCGCCTCCGCCTCCTCCTCTTACCTGCGGAGGAGAGATCGGTTCCTGGCTGGCCGGGGCAGTGTCATCGATACAGCTGGTGTCATCGTTACCTTCCACTAACAGATCACTCGACACCCGTGGCCCCGGCAGGGCTGTGCCTGGCGCTGTCCCGGGAGCTGGAGCTTTGACCCTCCCATTGCCCTGAACCCCAGGCCAGCCGGCGAGGCAGGACTAGATTGTTCCTGGTGCCTGCCTCCCCTTAGGGTCCCAGCCGCCTCTCGGCTTCCTGCTGCTGGCCCGGCCTGTTGCTGTCTCGGGCAGAGGAATGAGTTTGCTGCTTGCTGGGAGCTGAGGCAGAGTGACATGCTGCCCGGAGAAGGGGCTCTTGGGGGGGCCCTGGAGTGAGGAGCCGGGTGAGGAGCAGCCTGGGGTGCCCGGCAGTCCGGGCTTTGCTGGTGTGGGCACCCGGGTGGCACCATGCTGCAGCAGATCCTGCACGACATGTACATCGACCCCGAGCTCCTGGCCGAGCTCAGCGGCCGATCTCGGCAGGTGGAGGCTGGGTGAGGGCTGCCGTCTTGGCCACGAGCAGAGAAGCTGACAGTCTCTAGAAGACCCGGCCCCTGGCCTCGTCAGGGCCCTGTGATTTGTGAACAGCGGCCACAGATTTCCAAGGCTGTGAGGAGATCTGCTGGTGACACCCACCCTGCACGTCAGCAGCTCAGTCTCAGGCTGATCACACACAGACACATTCTCTTCCCCCAGATTTCTTCTCCTCCTTGTTTCGT